AAATTGAATTAACCATCCACTCAAAGGACTGGACATATCTTTACTTTATTCTGAAGTAAGTACAAGTGCACTTATCTGCCGTTTTCCTTAATCCCTCCACAGTCCTTTGACTTACACACTATATATTTAAAAAGAGTCCATGCTTTTTCCTTATGACACTCTTCTCATCCCAGCTCCATTAATAAATTGTCTTACACACTGCATGATGTTTTAGACAAATGGAAGGTTACACCAAATCTCACTGGTCTGTTCTCCACTGTCTCAGAGTGAAACATAAGCCACAAAGCCCAGTCTGCTAATGCAGTAAAACAGGGCAAGACAAACCCAACTGGGCATTTGCTGCCATAGAATGAATCCAGACACAAAGGCTGCAATACTGAAATGAGAAACCAAGCAGAGTACCAGGTTGAGTGTAGAAAAATCTCCTCCTGAAGAGCATTCCCAATGGGTGCCTGGAGGTCAGTGGGAGACAATGCTCACACCCTGAGGACTCGCAGCACTGTACAGCCTCTGGCACTGCATCAGTGCTACCTCACCTGCCAACACCTTGGGACTTTACCAACCAGGAGTCCAGGTTTGGGCAGGTTTGTATCCTGGGAGCCTGCTAGAATCCATCACTGCCTTGGCAATGGAAACAGATGAAGCTTCTCCTGTCTTTGTGGGGGCAGAGCCAGGAGGCAGAGCAGTGTTCTGCAGAGCTAGCTAAGCGTGTCAGAGCCCAGGGCAGTGGCCAAACCCTTTCTTCAGGGTCACCTTGAACACACTGCTGTTCCACACAGGCACAGCAAGGTGGGTTTCTGTACCCTGACAGCATCCAGTGCCTGCAGGATGCACTCACACACATGCACACCCACCAGCATTTCTCCTTGGGAAAATTACTTGAACTAAACCATGGCCAAAATGAAATAAGGAAATCTTGCAATCTCAGTATCAGAGAACTCATGATCCTGACTTGAAATTCTTAAGTATATTCTAAGCTCATTTATTTCATGTATTACCTAAGTATCAGAACAGCCAACCGTAAGACAAAGTGACAATCTGAGCTAAGCAAATGGTTTCAATTTCTTTTTTTCATCATCTTGACACATAGTTTTTTAAAATTTGGAGAAAGTTTCACAAAGATGCTCTCTCTCAATTCAGATTTTTTTTAAACTGCCAGAAATTATTTAGATGATAACTGTGTAAGAGACAAAAGACTGTCAAGCTTGCATCACACTCTGCATACAAAGCATTGTTTGAGTCTAAACTATAATCCTTGTGCATGGATAGACACAATCTCAAACCCTAAAACATGCTGAAGTCCCAAGAAATGCAGTATAGAAGAGAGATCCTGTAGAGGAAATAAATTCATTCACACATGTAGTGTCCCCTGTCCCATGTGCTCCATCTCAGCATGGGAGGAGATCTTGGGGTATAGGTCTTGCTGCAGCAACAGGGACAGCTGCAGGGCCTTACTGTTTGCAGAGGGAAGAGCAATCAGCTTTTTGCTGCCTCCTCAGCTGTTCAGTTCTTTCCCAAAACTCCTCCTGACATCCGGATTTAGCCTATGTGCTGCCAGTTGAGTCCCTGCATGACTTAGGCATTTAATGCACAAGATCCCTAGAACCAAAGTGTCTACTCCATACTACAATTAATAAGAGCAAGTTTATGATCTTCCTGTTATTTGGAACCAGATTTTAAAGGTTTACCATGAGAAAAAAAATCTCCCTGTAACAAATATAATCATCTGCATCCTTAAAATGACAAAAGTATGTCCCTGAAAGCCTGTAACAGACACTGCTGTAATGGTAAAACCTTAAAAAAATCAGTGCTGAAGTGCTACTTAAATGTGTCTCAGTCCATACCAAACAAATTCAGCTTAAATACTGACAAGAGACAGAGCAAAAGAACTCTGAACTGAGATGAGCATATTGCCCTTAATGTGCTGCTTGCAGCACTTCAAATATTTGGGTTTACACACCAATACAGAGTGGCAGCTAAACTGTGCACTCCTGCACAACTTCACCCCAAAGTACAGAGCTGTCTGCAATTGGGAACCTTTTGACCAAAGTCATCCACACAGCAAAGGCAAATTCAATGCAGCTGAATCATTCTAAGCACGGCTTAACACCCAAGAAAGACTGAAGACTTCTCTCAGCTTAATTTTAACACATTTCTTTGCAATTAGAATTAAATATTTACTGCTAATTTCACACATCTCTCATGCTGTCAGTTTTAGGCTACTTCATTTACGGTTCTGCTGGGGACATCCAAATGAGTAATATCTTACTCCAGATGTTCAGAATAATTGAATTGGCCTCTGGTTTTTTAGATTTGCCCAATTACAAGGTGCTCATCAATCCTACATTTAAAAGAAATCTTACTTCTGACAAGTAGCAATGATTTAGGAAGAGATAATTTGGTCCTTCCATATAGAGGATTAATACATAATTTAAAATTGAGTGTGAACACCTAGAAAGCTTTCTAGAAGCCTATTACACCCCAAAGTTTTTCACTCAGCTGTCCATATCCAGTTGGTTTTTATCTCCAAGTTTCACACTTTGCTGTTATTTATCACCAGTGTCAGACACATAATGCATTTCCAACCTTACCAGAGAAAAACACCCACTCTGAATAAAGGCAGAATTGGAAATCCTTAGATTACATGTTTGCAATGCAAGATGCCAATTATTAGCATCTAATTGGAAACAAGTGTTAAACAAATTTTGGTTCATCTAATTAGATGGGGGAGAGAGAGGTGTTTATAAACTCACACACAGTCCTTACACTTTCCATGTCACCAGAGTCAATTTAAAACCAGCACGTGGAAACATCAATACATTCAGGTACGACAGGAAGTACAGATGAACCAATTAATAACTCTGATAAAATCCCTCCACCTATTATAATTCTATACACACACACAATTTCTAATACAGAATTCAGGTATGTATCCAGCCTGAAGGTAAAAAAAAATCTGTGGACTCAAGTTCCAATGTGCAGGTTTTGACTCAGGTCAGGAGTTAAAAGAATTGATACTGAACAGATAAATATGTAAGAATCTACTGTGAATTTAGCATCTTCACCTGCTGGAATTTATTGAGTCTCTGTGTTCAAACCCCACAACACTTAAACCCACAAGTGAGATTGCCTTTTTCTGCTGTTGCTGGTAAGGAACATCTCCATGCTGTCAGAATATTACACACTGTTATTTGAAATCAAAGGGATATGGCAGGAGATGAAACACTGCAGTCTTACAACAGCTCTGAGCACACCTGAAGCTATTCATCATCTTCTGCAGGACACAGAGCCAACGTTATGCCCAACTAACACAGCTTCAGTGCAGCCTTTTGCAGGTATTTGTAAGGATTTGCTCTGAGAGTGCTTTTCTGAATGGTGATGGAAGCACAGAAGTGATTTGAATCCTTTTCTCCCATTATCATGTATTGGTATATATATTTTCAGCCCAACAGAACTGTTTCTGCCTCCTTTAATTTCTTGATGCTGCTGACAGCACTGGAGAGCAGGCTCCTAGGCAAAGGCACAGATTGAGGTCAAGAGTTTACCAAAATGCTTTTATCATTTAATCACAGTAATCAATCACTGAAATCAGATGTGTAGATGTAGCATGAAAGGCTTCAGAGAAAGAAATAAACAGCTTGATCCAGAAGTGTTTAAAATCGATTAAATAAGGTTTTCATTTTAATTTGCTCTAATTTAAGGAAAGCTTTTAATTCAATTCCCACACTGTTTCAGTTCTCCTCAATCTGTGACCCAGTTACACGTTTTAAAAGGAAGTATTTGCTTAAATCTCTCAAAAACAATGAATTAATATTGAAAGTGACATTTCACAGTGAGTGAAAAAAACGACTTTCATTCCCATCCCAAAGCAGGAATTGAGTTTCTGTTACTTTCCTACAGATCCTGGATATATACAATGTTAGCTTGCAATACATTTCTTGATTTTTAGGTTACTTTGATTTTGCTAGACTTGCTCAGCCTTCTGAACTTCCCTTTTAATAACTTGTCAAATCATCTGCCACTACCTTCAGTCCTTGTGCCTTGCTGTGTCACTCAACTTCGACGTCAAGTTTCAAAACAATTTTAAATGCACCCAACTGAATAAGCAACAATTTCAGAGGCAAAGAGAGCAGAGATAGATCAAAGTGTGTCACAGGATTTCACTGCAACGAGACACAGGCAACTTCCAGGGCTCCTGCAGCAGTAACCATTGACAAACTACTACCTGTTTTAGGTGCCAAAATTTTACACAGGACAGAGGCTCCTAAGAATCTTCAGAGATAAAAATAACTTTAAATTCATTTCTGAACTCCACAAATCTCCTCACAGTCCTTCTGAAGTGCACTGGCTACCAGGATACACACCAGAAGGTAGCTGCCTATAGTACAGCTCAAACCACGAGATTTCTGGGGCTTAAGTAAAACCAAAGACAACAACTTCACAGTTTAGATGTCACAGTATTTCTGGTTCTAGTCTGCTCTCTAGGCTGTTTGCAGTCTTTAGTCAATGACTGAACAGAAGATGCAAACTCCCAGCTGAGGAGGAAGGCTATGGAGTGGCAAACCTGGCACTCAGGGCCTGAGTGGTTTAACTTCACCTCTGCAAGTTCTGGGCAGTACCAGTGTTCCCTCCTTGTCTGCCACATCTGAATGTAAACAGCTGCTCTGCTGGTTTATTTCAGGGCTCAGAGGTAGACACAGAGCTCAGCTGCTCAGCCTTGCCTCTGAATCACATCATGTAGGCTGAACACAAGCACGTTCCTCTTCAAACCGGGTCATTCTTGGCTATGTGTCAGTATCTGAAGAACTCTAACCCAGCAGTGTCAGTGGCTGACTCATGTTTAGGCAACCACTAGAAGATCTGAATTGACTTCTTGGACTTCAGCACCCAGTTCTCTTACATATACTGTCTGCAGTATCAAAGTGAGCTCCTCGGGTCTTTTCCTTACTATTAATTCAAGCTAGGAAGCTGCACCCAAGCTCATCCAAAATCACGCAGAGGAAGGTAATAAATACACCTGTAAGAGAGACTTATTTTGCCTTGTAATGCACTAGTGCAAGTATTTGTCACAGGTCCCAGTGAGGAATACATTAAGACTCCATAAGGTATTGGTTAAAACATGTTTTACAAGTGACGACATGAGGAAGAAAAAAGGGAATAGCACAGATAACCTTACATCTCTTCAGATGCTGGAAAAGTCACTTGTGCAGCATCAGACAGACTCCAGTGAGGGCACAGCATGCTGCACATAACCTGTCTGTCCTGACAGTCACTGGCATCACGCTCTCTAGAGCTCTTTTAAGTTTTTCTTAGAAGTAAACAAGTCTATTCATCATTCCTACTGTCAAGGAAAAGGATGTTCACACGAAAACATGCTGCTTCACTTGAAGGTAAAGATAAGGACGTGCCAGCAGTGTCATCACCAGGTGCCAAGTGAGAGCTGCCTACAGCTATGCTCAGCTGGCTCTGCTCACCCTGTGGCCACACACCTACTCGGGTCAGCTGCTATGTGGATCACCAATCTCAGCCTCCCTGGGAGCAGCCCCACCTGCCCTCTCCCACCTAACACCAGATGGTAGCACACAAAGTATTGGGAAAGCAGGCAGTGAAGAAAAAATAAACAAAAAATACCTGGAAGATGACACTGACAAGTTGACAAATTTAACAGGAAGGGTTAGGAGCTTCTTTTTGGGGGATTTGTGTGTTTATTTTACCTTAAATCTGGACAATATGAAAACCATTGGTAAATTGTTAAGTGTAGCTAAAGTTCCTGGTTCTCAAAAGGAGCAAACACTACTGCATTTTTCAGCAGTCACCAATCAGTGCTCAACCCTGTGACAGCACAGAACAGGGTCCCCAGCTCCTCACAGAGTGTTCCTGTCAACGCTGAAAGCTGCAGGCAGGATTTGACAGAGGATGACTGGGGAAAGGAAAGGGAAAGAATCAGCTCCTCTAATCTGGGAGGAGTGCCTAAAATGCTGCCTCATGCTCCAGTCCCTGGTGAGTTCCCCACTGAGAGCCACAGTTTGAGCCTATACAATTCTGCATTCTGAATGCAGCACGTAAATGCATGATTTTCTTCTGAGGGAAACAGCAGAAATCAAAAGTCTTGTTCACTAGATAAAATGAATGAGATGCACTGAAGTTAGTCATTTGTATGACTGAGGAGTGAACATGCATCTGATGGCTTTTATTTCTGGGTTCATGTACTCTACCTTCCAGAAGTGTTCTTCAGTATAGCAAGAGCATCTGGGTATCCATCCATGTTGTAATCTCCAATATGAAGTGTAATTGGAAATGAAATTTCTGCTGAAGATTTGTCATTTTGATATGGTACAAAGCCCCAGACTGTGTCTTTATTTCTGAAGTCTTGCAAGACTGGAATCCACTGTAAAAGAAAACAAAACAAAAAAAAAAAAAAAGAGCAGCTAAATAAAGCAATCCATTTTCTTCATTCAAACAATGTAATGCTATTTAAACCAGCTGACAAGTCTTCACTGCACCAGGATTTTTAGTCATTTATAAATTTCCAAAGAGGAAATAAGGGTAATTTCCTAACTCTGCCACCAAATGAAAAAATTCATTTGAAGCAATTTTCTGTGCACTAAATTATTTTAGAACAGGAAAAAATAGTTAAGGGTGTAAGAATAAAGGACCTGTGGAGTGTTAGTTAGAACTAACATTGGAATGACGAGTTAACTTGTTTGTTTTCATCTGGATTCTGTGTCCAGTTTTGTGCCCCATGGCTCACCAAAGGTTTGAGAATACTGTGTGTGCTGAGAGAAGGGTCACCAAGGGGGAGGCACCGAGTCATTATTTACTCAGAGGACAGGGCACAGGGTCTGATCAGCCTGGAGAACAGAAGAGCTAAAGGGACCTGTAACAACCTCCCAGTGCCTGCAGGAGATAGCTGAGAGGAAGGAGCCAAGCTCTCTGCTGTGATACGTGACAGGAGAGCAAGAGAAAATGTCACAAGACTGACACACAGGAAGTTTTGACTAGAGATAAATTAAACTAGGAGAGAGCCCTGAGAAGCTACAGGATCTCTGTCCTTGGGGGTTTCCAAAGTCTGACTGGACAAAGCTCTAAACAACATGACCTGAATTCAGCTCTGCTCCTGCTCAAAGCAGGGGGCTGGGTCTCCTTAGGTTCATTTCAGCCTGAATGATTCTATTATTCATGGATATTTAGAAGTTCAAGAGCTTCAATTCCCCTCCTATCTCCCCAGCAGCACCAGATACTGAACTGCTTGATAAGAAATTAAGATTAAAGTATCAAACTCAAAGTACAAAAGAAATGCAAAGTATAATTTCTCCAGGACAAGAAACAGAATGCATCTGCACTCACTTTCCAAAGCGCTGCAGAGGTGCTAAATGGGAATTTATCTTAATTAAAATCAAAGTAATTTTGCAAGTTAGTATGAAGCTGAAGCACCAGGGCTAACATTTCAATGCTACAGAAAAATTCAGTGCCATTTTAAAATCAAGAGTAATTTTCTATGTCAACTCACCATCAATGCCTTGGAGAGGACAGAAGGGTGACACCTTAAAGGATCACTATCACCAACATCAAAAGCACTTAACAAGTCTTACATGTCTCTCATCCCAGCCTTAATTTAGCTATTTCAGGCAGCAGAAAGAGATCCATGACAGTAACATTTTCTGCCACGGGAAGATTCCCTCACTAATGCAGTCCAGTCACCAACAACATTCCTGCCCCATGGCAACCCTGGTGGGACTCAACTGGTCCCTTGGGATAACACACAGCCACTGCCTGTTGGACAGGCCCAAAATTGTTAAAGTGACTCAGGTCAGTTTTGTCTGGGTATCACAGATAGCATAAAAGCCTGAACAGTTCTGCCAGACACTGAACACACTGCGTGTTCCTGGGTAAGCAATGAGATCTCAGCTGCAGAGATGATCTACAACACTCACTGAAGAGTCAGAGGTGGAATTTAACAGACTAGGACCCTCACACCCCATAGCACACACACTACTGAGTTACTCTTAGTTGCTGAAGGTTTGGTATAATCTCAGGAATAGAAAACAAGACAAAGACTCTTAACCCGAGAGAAATTTCTCCAAGGATTAAATTTCTCAGCATTTATTTGTCATGCAGGAGACAGATGAGACAATATTATTGCAAAATACTGTAATTTTCAAAAACACTGATTGAAATCAGAACCATGAAATATAATATAGCTTTTACTTTCCATGGTACCATTCACACAGTCATCGCAGTGAAATCCAATTATATCCATCATATACTTCCTAAATGTTCCCATGTATAGCAACACAATCTTAGGGAAACAAAATTAAACATGAATTTTTAGACACAAATAGGAATTTGTATTCTCTTTTTGCTCTATTCAGAGTGATTCAGAGAAGGCAATTTTGCAATCCTAAGGTCTAGAATGAGACATAAAACAATAGATAAGCCAAACATCACCTATTGCTAGGAAGCATCAGCACCATATGTGATGGAGTCAGATCCATCCATCCCACCAAACCTCAGTGGGACATTTTCTAAGAGCAGGTGTGTAACAAAATAAAACATCAGCCTAGTTTGGTTCCAGCACCATATGCAACTCAGCTCAAATTCAGAGCAGCTCATTCTATGTATTTCCAGCATGAGCTGCAGTGTTGTGTAATGCAATACAGGATTAATTGTTCACGTGCCTCAGGACATGTATGTCAGTACAGGAAGCAAAAAAAGAAACTGTTTGTCAACAATATAAATCTCCTACTTCTTTTGTGTTTGATAATCCAGACAATGACTTTAAGCTTCATGTTCGCTGTACTATTTTAATAGGAAAAGACTGAACCTAATTTTTTTCTTTCTCTCTAAGATAGAAATAGGTGGGTACAATGAGGACACACAAAGCTATTTTTTCCAGTTTTCTGATCATATGATTTCTGCTACATAGCTCAGATGAAAAAAGACTGAAAAACAGAATGAGTGTTTCTAAAAGAAATTTTAAATGAACACACAAAATTCAGTCAGTCAGATTTACTTCTTCCCTGTTAAATTCTATGGCACAGCATCACTAATATAATTACTTAAAACATTTATATAGCCATTTCTGACCCTTCAATTAATGATTTTGTAGGCTAAAAACTGAAAAATACTTAAAGTGCTGGAAAATTTGTTTGTAAAAACTCTTCAAACATTTGTTTTTCAACAAGTAGAAATGAGAATGCTTTACTGCCCTGTGCAAACAGCATCTTCTTCCTTTTGAAAAAGATCTTGGGTATTTGAGAGAAGTTTAAAACTCACCCCACTGAGCTGAAAAAGGGCTCAATCCTGCCCACAGCAACAGGAGACCTTTGCCCTGGGCTCCCTGTCTCTGTATGTGTGCATTGTAGTTCAGCTGCATCTAAAAACAACTCCAGTGACTCCAGGATGCTTATTAAGGCTTTCAGTGCATACAAAGGTCACCTGAATCTCTTACACATTTCAGCAGCCACTACAGCATAAAAATAAACTAAGTAAAATACTGCATGTTGCACCATTAACTTAGGATGTTGAAATCCCAGAAGAGCACTGATTTAGACTCATAGCACCAAGTAACCAAAGCAGTAAGAGTCATGTTTTCAATGCTCACAGCTCCACGGCTGCTTTGAGAAAGATGAGCAACTCAGACATGATGAGAGGATCCTGCAGAATCTGAGATTTAAGAGAATTACAGTAGCTAAACACACTCCCCACTTTGGAATGAGGAATAACTTGTGTCACTGACCAAATGCAGCCAATAATCAATGCTGCCACGTTCCTCTCCAGCCTAGAGAATGATGCCACAAAGATCTGTGGTTTGCTGTAGGATGAACTGCTGTGTCCTACTTCAGAGCTGCTAGATTGCCAAGAGGAATAAAGCTATAACCTTTCTATTGTACAGAGAAAGGTTATAAGAATCATCAAGCCCACAAAGAAACTCTCAAATGATGGGACTGAAATAATACTCTTTGCCTCGGGAAACAAATGAAAAATCATACTGAGCACTTGGCAAAATTAAAGGAAAGATTAGTCATCTCTAAGAATATCACAGTATCTAGAGTTCCTACAATAAACAGTATCAGGGACTTTGAAATATTTCCCAGATTGGACTGTAGCTACTGCAGGTGAGTTTAGACAAGTCTGAGGTGTCCTAACACCTGCCACAATCTGAAACAGCAGACAGAATTCTGCTTCAGATCCACAGCAATTCTGCTGTTGCTATGGAAACATTCACATTATTTTAACACATTACCAGGTTTGTATCTCCTTAAGTCACTTGTATTTTGTTGGCCTTTACTTCTGCTCCACCATTGACTTCTGCTCCACTCTCTGAAAGAAGCAAGTTTTTCCTAAATATTTCTAATACTTACAAAGAACAAATCATCACATAAATTAAAAGCTATGGTGAAAGATTATCCTTGAAATAATTCTCCCAGGCTGGCCTGTCTTTCTAGGAGCCATACAGTGAGGCCACAGGTGTAATGAGAAATGCACTGAGAAACAACCATGAGAGAAATACTGACAGACAAGACCTTACTGGGACACCTCCTAATCCTGCCATGCCATTGCATGTCCCTCTGAAGCATAACATGTAGAACCAGGAATGGTACAGATGTGTATTTCCCATTGTTATCCATCTCATCCCAAAGCATCACACACTGCCCTGGAACTGTATTAACTGTTCTACGTGTGGCTTCACCGAGTGCTGCAACAAACAAGCAGCAAGGACAGAACCAGGTCCAGATACAGGAGGCAAAATATTTTTTGTAGGACTGTCATTTGTGATCTTTCAGATCTGTCATCAGTAAGTTCCTTTAAAAAAAATCAATTCTGAAATCAAGAATTCTTTGCTATGCTCTTAACCCAACAAAATCAATCCCCAAACCCTACAGCAAACCTGAACAGAGACAATGGACATAGAGCATCTTCTGCTTTTCCAATAACAGACTTCAATCTCCCAGTTTCCCCCAGATTCCTTATCATTACCCACCTGTTCCACAGGGGATACCACCCCCTGGCTGAAACACATTCTGCACTACAACAGCTCCTTATTACTTCCCTCAGATTGTCAAGCAATTAAACACACAAAAGGAATTTATTCCAGTCTGTTGCCACAAAGTTTACATTTATCATTTCTCATGAAGATTAAGCTATTCAAAGCTGGACACTGAGACACTTGAGCTCACAAAGACCAAACCCAGTGAAATTAAACATTTCACTTCCAAATAAATCTGGGAATTAACAGTTTTGAATAGATTTCTATCCAAAGGAAGAAAGCTACATCCTGGACAGGCTGCAGATGTATGGATGAAGGTACTGGTACTTTCCACTGTTTCAGAACAGAAAAACGTTTAAAAAGTTCCATCACCTCCAGAAAAGTGCAAGGGAAGAGGATTCTAGATGGCATTCTTTAAAAAGGTTAGGCCAGAACAAGTCATTACTGCATGCCATTTGTTACTGCCATTTTTGATTAATAAGTCAGTCTAAAAATATAGAGGGAAAATGGGTTTAAAGTTTCTGGTTAAGTCTTCATACTTTTTAATATATTTTTTTTCTAGCAGGGTGAGAATCTCTTGGATTCTTCACTTATTGAAGTCATAATATTTAGCTGCAAATTTTTATCTCAAAGATGATTATCTGGGAAATTATTTTCAACTTGAAACTACACAGTGAAATTGCTAAATTGAGTAAACAAATTAAACATAGGTTAAATATCTGATGCATTGGTAGTGAGTTTATCAACAAAACGAAATAATGAAGGAAGATAAAAACAGTCTACATGCAATGTTACTTCAGAGCAGGTTACAGTAACAGACCCTGGAAAAATCTGGATGTTTGCAAATTGACCCACACCTTCTTCTGTCGCCAGTGCATCATTTCCTTCTAAAACACCAGGACCAACAGCTCCCAGAGCCTCAGCACTGCCCACTCACCTGTTACTCCCCAGTAACTAACAGCTCTGTGTCTTGCAGTGATGCTTGAGGGGGATTCGTTTTTTACAGGGAAATTACTTCAATTTAGAGTATTTGTCTCAAATTTACTTGAGCAGAAAAATGCCTTATCTTATCAAGAGTAAGGAACTGAATTCAGAGCTGAAGAGCAGCTGTGTTGACCAGTGTAAAGGCTTAGCCAGAGCCTCTGCTCTCTCCATGGATCAGAAAGCAATGCAAGTATCATGAATTGAGCACCCACTTGCTTTATCCACAGGCTATGGCCCATAACTCCAACCCTGCTGTAACACTGTGCATCCAGCAATGCCATCCTCTATTGTTTGCATTCTGTGCTTAAAGGGAATGAATGTGAAAACAAAATCCAAATCAACCCAAAAACCCAACAACCCACACCCAACCCAACACTGTGCACAGCAAAACATGCATTGCTAATTACAGAGCTGGCAAGATCAGGAGGCTCAAATCAGGGCACTGTGAATACTTAGAACAGATTATCACACACTTAAGTAAGTGCAGATACAGAACTATATTCCATGAATTATGACCATGCCTCTCAAACCAGGTAGTGCTGTGGCCAAATGAACCTGCAACACTTTAATAGACACCCCATACTGAAGATACACAGCCTAAACAAGTCTCTGTGTGCCACTTGGAAATTTGCTTTGTTAGTAACATGCGAAGACACAGTGGAGATAAGGGGTAAGAGGTGTGGGCTGGTTCAGCTTGATGTGTGTATTTTTACTCTAAAATAACTCCCTCAGTTAAACTAAAGAAGCCTATGTGAATTAATTAGATCTGTTTCCAACTCTTGACACAAGCCTTGTTTTTCATCTCGGGATGGGGCAGTTAGGGTGCTTAGAGCACAGTGGTTTGCACTCAAGAAGTGACTCCTCAGAAGCATCCATCATTTTCTTGGGCAGAATGATCCATCACGAAGAATTCTAGGGATCCAACCCCTTCCACCAAACCCACATTTTAATACATAAAGAAATAAGTCAAAGTCTCTTATATTCAGCCATTACAGGTGAGGAAGTTTCATTACTTTCCTGAAAGATAATTTTCTATTTCATATTATTTTGTTAAGTGCAGTATTTTCCTTTGTCTTTGCTATTCCAGACTCACATTACCTGATCCAGCCCCAGCTTAGTTAGGTAGATGGCACTTCTTTGACATGTTTCATCTTCACACACTGGTAATAAATGTTCACTTTGTCCATCCCCATCTGTCAGAGAGAAAAAAAGACTGTCAGCTTTGCATCTGCAAAATCAGAAACCCTGTTTGCAAGAAATAATCAGCTGTGAATGATTTAGTACTTTTTAAAATGTGAAATATTATACGAAGCAACCTAGACCTATTTGAAATCCTTAACCTAATAATCTAATTTGGGTCTTCTGTTTGTACATTGTCTTTGCTGATGTATTTTCATCTTGACCCACAACACAGAGAAAGTTTTCAATCTCACTGACATATTTAGATGACTAAGTGCTTAGGAATTTACTCCATCCCTGTGTTCAATTGGGAAGAAAATTCCCTTTAACATAAATCCACCATCACAAGTTGACCAGACAAACTTACTGAATTTTCTGAACTGGTTTTAGACTCCTGTGCAGTCAGCAAGACTTTCAGAGGAGTCATGAGTTCACCTGTAATATCTTAATCTGTACTTAACATAAAAAACAACCTGGAAACTTGATTAACACAATTAATAAATCCCAAGCTTACAGAATTTGTTAATTCTGAGTAAATTACAGGTTTTAAAAAATGTTCTTCAAGAGCCTTTAATCCATGTATTTCCAAAACCTCTAGCAGAATAATGATCTTTTAATGTTTAAACAAGCAATGCCTATTTGCATCCAGAATTCTGACACACATATGGGGAAAAAAATAATCAATTATCTAGTCCAGGAGAAATCCCAGTGTTCCCATTCTGACCTTGCAGCCCTGCCCAGCAGATCCTCCCAGGTGACAGGGACCACCAGGTACCTGCATGGGCTGAGGAACAGAAGTGCCAAAAAGCAGCAGCTAGAGCTGCATTAGTAACCACTGCAGCAAGTCCTGATTATAAGCAAACTTGACTTGCCACAGAGATCTGATCTTTCTCTGGCACAGAGCAAGCTCAGGGAGTTTCAGGGAATCCACTTTTCCAGGCTGGGAAATCAAAGCTCATACTGTAATAAATGAATTCATCTTTTCAACTTGCCTCATAGCTCATACAGTTCTGAGGACCTTGA